TTTAAATTTTTTTTTGTCCTTGTGAAATAAATACAGTAATGATTGGGCCTTAGGAAATTCTCATATTACCTGAATGGTAAAAGTACGTATTTTATGTTACTTCAATCACTAGTAACTTTTGCACTAATAACATACAAAGATGTTCGCGAAGTTTTGATTTACCTCAACAGGCCCTGAACTTGACTATCTAAATTTTAGTTTTCTACAATCTTTCTTTGAGTGTTTATCTGTAAACCTTATATTTCACTAATGTATAATACATGTTACTTTATTTTTCACTACATTTAAACTCAGTTTATGTAAAGTTTGCAGAAATCCAGTCAAATATAATCTATAGAATTATTAACTGTATACTAGACTATTCAAAGTAGGGTGATTTTACTCTATGTCATTTAAATTTCATACTATGTGCTTCAAAACACAAACAAACAAAACATCAGAGTAACTTTGCTTGAGAAACACTTTTGTAGCATCATATAAAATGTCACACACACAAAAAAATTTCACCAAAAAGTATAAAAATCTATACAAGCCATATTTCCATTCCCAAAAGGAAAAAAAGATTCTAAAAAATTTCACCAAAAAGTATAAAAATCTATACAAGCCATATTTCCATTCCCAAAAGGAAAAAAAGATTCTAAAACATAAAAAAAATAGTTGAAAAATAATTGAAGTTTTAAGTCTATATTTTACCTTGAAAGATATCCTGTATTGAATCATTTTATACAACTTACATAATACGGGTGATAATTCTGTACACCGTACCCTTTAGAAAACAGTGGCATTAGCATATGCTTTAAATGACAAGTTCATGAAGATCAAACCTGAAAACACATATTTTTTGTGTGTGTTATATAATTTTAGTTGCTACAAATCTCTTTTTCATGACTTGGAAACATAGAAGTGCAAAACATAATAAATGCAAATGCAGACTCAAGTAAGTGCTCCTCAGGCTGTTAGTAGTTTAAAATTTAACAATTTGTTACCAGAATAAACAAATGTTAACATTTGGATTTGATTAAAAAGTATAAAACTGTTTCGTAAATCAACACTAATATATAAAGCCACTTTAACAATGATGCAGGAATCCATATTTTAAGGATTTTTAAAGAGTAAAAGCTATACTATTGTTGATGGAAAGTCTATTAGTTTTAAATTTAAAATGAGTGTCAATAAATGAGTTTTAATTTTATATATTTCTCTTGTTCTTGAAGCCCGATGCTCCAAGTTTCTTCTTTCCTATTTCTGTCCAGGTTTCCTAATGTTTGATTATCAGAAAGTACTAAGAGCGAGCCTATTCCAGAAGCCCAGGAAGTAGAAAGCTTATTATTTAGTGTCATGCTTATTGCTATTTCACCCAGGATGTGTGTGTGTGTGTGTGTGTGTGTGTGTGTGTGTGTGTGTGTGAGAGAGAGAGAGAGAGATTATGGGGGGTAGGGTCTTGCCATAAGGAGTCACAAAATATCTGAAAAAAATTTGTTTCCGGCCATATCATTTTTAAACTATATTTGCAATACAATTTTAGAGTTTTCTTTAAACTGCCTGAACATTTACTTTCCTCGGAATAAGGAATTTCCTCATGATTACTTAATGAGGATTATTAATGGACTACTGACAGAGATGTCCTTCCAGCTATGCCTTTTAATTATGAGAGGCAGAATGTTGGTTAGAAATATTCCACTGGAATTTGTGGAGAAAAGAAAGATGAGAACTTGTTTGGGAAATGTAAAGGCTCCTCATAGCAGGACGTTCTGACTGGGAGCAACTTGTCCCTAATGCTAGCGGTTAATAAAAATTAACTACTTGAAAATAATAAACTGGACTTCCACAAAGCCAAGTCTCAACTTTATCTACAGCAAGCATAAAACCGGATTTCTATCTGCCCTAGCAACAAGAGCCTATTTATTGATTGCAAAGACCTATGAGCCTGGCTTTTTGGATCCTAGTTTTCTGAGGAGGCAAGGCTGGAAGAAGGGAAAAGTGAAGTGTGCCTGAGCAGGAAACAGCTGACAAGCCCCTCCGGAAGGGCTCTTAAAACCTACATTTGGCCTCACCCTGTTCTCATCATGATTGGGCCAATTAAATACTGGTCCTCCCTTATACCTTCACAAGTTCTTTTCAATAATGCAATCGCTGGTTGTCTGGAAGAAGTGGTGTCCTTTTGCAGGCAAAGAGTACAAGCGTGTGAGCCATCAAGTCTATCTAGTGGCCTAGAGAGAACGGAGTTCACTGTCAACTAGAAGGCAAGAGGTTTGATTCCACTAGCTGCTCTGCAGGAAATCTGCTGGATGGCCAGCTGTGACCACGAAGAGTCATCATTCCTCATCAGACCTGGTTAAAGCTCCTTGGGTTATAACTGAGCTGTAAAGCAAGACACTGAGTTTAAAAATAAATAAATAAATACAAATCAGAGCCTTTCTGGCTCCTTCCTACTCTAGAGCTTCCCCTAGGGATAAAATCTCTTAAGGTCCCAGTGGGATGGGGCCAGGGAGAGGACTCACTGTCCTGGGCTCCAGGAGACAATCCAATCCAGCAGTATGCCTTTATCATGCAAAGCGCTCTCAGGGTAAACGCTAGTGATAAAAGAGGGACCCTGGCTGAGCCCACCAAGCAGTGGTGAGCGCGCGCCCTGAGTGCGTGCGTGCGCGTGTGTGCGCCTGTGTGTGTAGCAGATGAGGCACAAGTAAAACCCAAAAGCCAATTTATTTCCCACTTCTCAAGTATACACTCAAGTTCAACTCAGACTTCCACAAGACTTGAAAATTCCGTAGCCAATATCTTAGAGAAATCCTCATGCATCAGGACGCAGTCCGAGGTAAAACGCAGAAAGGAGACAGCAAGGCTGCAGGAAAGAAGCTCAAAAGGCTAAGCGGGCGAGGTGGTCGTGGGGTGGCTATGATCCTGCATATTTTTTCTCCCAGTGCTTTTACTCTCCATACGTCCCGGAACTTACTGGCCTGGACAGGGGTATGCACTTACACTTGTTTAACAAGAGGATAACCTCTCGCTTTCAACCTTTCAAACTTTGGAGTCTAGGAGCGTGGCTAGTACCGTGGGGAAGCAGCGATTTTCCTGCAAAGGTTTCTTCAGGAAAGGAGCGATCAAGCTACAACCACCCTTTTGCCTCGCGCTACTCTTCCTAAGATGTAAAGGAAACATAAGGGGCTTTTAGGCTCCTATAGACCCGGTGGGGATTAAGGACGATTCGGACCTTCAGAACCTTTGAATCTAGCCATGGAGGAAGGTTGCAAGAACAGAAAAATGATGGTTGGCAATCCCAGGAAGAAGCAGGAAACACCGAAAAGAGAATGAGTTTAGGCTGTGAGCTGGGACTAGGGGGTGGAGAAAGACAGACTTATCCCCCTCCAAATGACACATGCTGAGTTTCCTAAAACGATTTGGACATTTGAGCACGTGATCAACCTTAAACCCAAACAGAGAAACTAGAATACATATGGAGTCCTACTCCCCGTGAGCGCGTGTAAACTACCTTTCTACCTGGTGCTCTGCGTTCCTTACCTACAGTCATCCCTACAAATACAGATAACCCCTCACCCCTTTCCTCTTCCCCTTCTCCCCTCTGGTCACACCCGAGAGCAGCCAACCCAACTGCTGCCCTCGGTCCAAGCTCCGGTCTTAGTCGCCTGGGGGACAGAAAGGTTCCCGCCACCCCCTCGGGACACCTCTAGAGGAGAGCAGGGGAGTAGGCGGGAGGGAACCAAGCTCAGCAGGAAAAAAAGAGTTGTCGATCACTGCTCCAAAACGCTTCCTGCCCACTTCATCTTTTGAGAGGTCAAAGATGTGGAAAGGTCGCGATCTGGCAGTCTCCAACTTTCAGCTGTTTCAGTTGCGACAATGTACAGGAAGGTAAGAAGGGAGGGAAAATAGAGGCCCTAAGAGCCGCAGGGTGGTCAGGAAGTGAGACTCGGGGTAGAGTTTGGGGGTACAGACATGTCCATGGCAGGCGGCCACAGGGCTGGCTTCCTGAGAGTGAAGTTTGTTTTTTTTTAAAGGGGAGGGGGTCGGGAGAGCAGGAACCTAGGAAGCCCTTAACACAGCAGGGAGGAAATGGACAAAGTGACGCCCCGGAGCCAGAAAGGCCACCCATGGAGCGTCCGGAAAGCTACCGGAGCAGGTGTCTGGCTCCAGGTCCTAGCGCGCCACCCCGCAGCCTCAGCTCGCCTGGGATCCTACCACTGCCGCCGCCGAGATTCCCGCCTTGGGGAGGACCCATGGAGGTCCCCAGAAAGCTCGCTTTATTTTCAAGAGCGCAGAACCACGTCTGCCCTCATCACAGATAGTGCGGGTCCTCGTCGCCTCCACAACTTTCTCCATCCAACTTTTTCAGGGTCGCGCACTTGCCCCGGCTGCGCGGGCTCTCGGGCACGCGGACCAGTTCTGGGTGCATCAGCAGCGCGAGAGGCACTGGGGACCCACGGTCCCGCACAGGATCTGGCTTCACAACACAGGCCTTCTGGCCCGCATCTCTACAAGTGACTATCTCTGCAGGCCAGGACGCTGCAGGCCGGCGCAACCCGGAGGATGAGTGCAACCACGCGTGCCACTTCCCACTCGCCGGTGCGCCCGACCCAGGCCGGGGACCGCTGCGCGCGGGCGCTGCCAGCTACTTTAGCCCAAAGAGGTCCCTCTCCGGGCTCGCCCTCCCTCTCGCGTCCGCTTCCGCGCGGGAGAGAGATGCGCAAAAAAAAAAAAAAAGATTCAATACAACTCCAGGATTCGGAGGAGGCAACCAACGTAGCTCTCTTTTCCAAAATGCGCCCTCCCGCGTCCCTTCAGAACTCCCGAGAGGCAGCAACACCTTCCCACAACTTTCTACGCCAAGGCCATTTGCAGTCCCGCGTGCGAACGCAAACTTGGGAGAACAGAGTCCGGCCAAGCTCGTTCGCCTTCCACTGGCTGACCTCCCCTCCCCCACCACTCCATCCGGCTGGACTTGGCCGGACCCTGGGCGCCACGGTGCTGCCCGCGGGCTCGCTTACCTCGCATGGTGTAGCCGCTCTCCTGCTCTGCGTAGTCATGAAGCTGCTCCCAGCCCGAACCCCGGAGAGCCCCAAAATCCGCGCTCAGCACGAGGGCAGAAGGTGGTCGGTGAAGAGCTGTTCTGCTGAGAAAACCATCCCTTTAGGCGGACGCCGTGGCCGGAGGGTGACGTTTGCAGGCGCCGCTGCTGTTACACTAACAGTTTTGATGATGGTGGTGGTGACTGTTTTGTTTTGATGGCTGTTTGGTTGTTTGTTTGTTTTCAGGAAGAGTTAAAAAAAAAATTGTCCTGGCTGGCTGATGCCTGGGTTTTGTTATGCTTTCCCCCCTTCTCTCCAATGTGCTTGCTTTTTAAAAATGCCACCGCCTCCGGCTCAGAAGATTTCTTTTGTGATCACTTGGACTGAGGAGGAGGAGGAAGGGCAGCAGCAGGAGGAGGAGTTGGTGGTGGTTTTGTTAGTTACAAAGAAGAGGGAGAAGGAACAAGGGGGAGGAGGTAAAAGGAAGCAGAAAGGAAAGAAAGGAAGGCGGTGTGGATGGCAGAGCATGTGCGTTTTCACATGACATCTGTGCCTGTTAGCGGATCCACAATGTGAATTTTCACTGTTCAGTTACAGGGAGGAAGGGAGCGAGAGAAAGAGAAGAGGAGATGGAGAGAGAGTGGAGAAGGGGCTTATACACCAGGGCGGGCTGGCCCCGGACTCGGAGGCCCCGCCTCCTGTCAGCGCCGCCGCCAATCAGAGTCCGGCAGCGCGGGGCGGGGAGGAGCGCGGGGGCGGGGGCGGCCAGAGGCGGGGTGGGCGGCTGGTGGGGGGAGCGCAGGTGGGGGGCGCGAGGGCTGCAGGGGGCCCGCGGGGCTCGGAGGGCCTGGAGCCTGACTGTCCCAACCTCTGGCAGGAAGAGAAGTACTGAAAGGGGGTAGTGGCCAGGTCTTCAGGTGACAGTCACCTCCAACTCCAGTGGAAGGGAGAACACCAGTTCTTGGGGGTGAATGAGGCGACGCTGCCTGGTGTCATGGTCTGTCCATTCCTCGAAGCCCAGATAGTTAGTGCATAGTTAGTTTTGAATTTATGACAGCTCTCCGCCCAGTTCTTTTCTGTAAACTGTGCGTCTCTAGCTGGGATGTTTTGTGTAGGACCCTTCCGTTTTAGTGCAAGTATAACGCAAATCCACTTGCAACACTTTTGTACAATACAGTCCTGCGCAAGTTGCCTTATGCTTCTTTTTAAAGACATCTGTCAACTGGCTTCTCACTCTTCCTCCTCAAGGGGAAAAAAGCCCCAACAAACCAAAATGGGGAAGAAATTGCCTTTTGTCAAGGAAATGCCTTTTTATTAGCATGAAGCGATTTCTCAGGCAATGGGCCACCAGACTCCAGAACAGCCGCCACTGAGCAGTGTGATCACATTAGTGATGGAAGCCAAAGGAGTTAAGTGCAAAGGCTGGGACAGTTTGAGTGCTGTGTCCACTCTTTATCTGATGAAGACCAGAACTCTAGGTGGAAAGAGCTGTTAATTACTAAGAGAAGGTATTTACCTATTTAGAAGAGATTGGCAAAGGCTTTGTTTTCCTTGGGTGAAAATTATCATCTATGACCATTTATTCATAGTTTTAACAGTAATTTCCTGCTTATCAGCCAAACTAGGGAGCTCCAGTGGCCTAGTGGCAAGAAGCTGCGCTGCAATGCCAAAGGTACACAGTTCAAATCCACCAGTTGCTCTGTGGAAGAAAGATGGCCAATTTCCACCCCAGGGATTAAATGTCTTGGAAAACTGGCCACAGGGTCAGCTCTGGCTCTGTTCCAACTCGAAGGTCAACAACAACAAACAAAACTACTTCTGTAAATATTTCCCTCTCAATGGGCAACTAAATATGTCCTATGCACATTATATCTGTTTCTCTTTGAAAAGCAGGGAGCTTCTTAAATACTTCACCAAATCCAGCAGCCTAAAAGTAAGAGAAGTGAAAAAAATAGCAATGAAAAAGTAGCAATGAATGACTCAGGATGACTAACAAGAACAACAACAATAACAACCCCATTTTAAAGCACTGAGGTTTCTACTGTTTTCTGTACCAAGGTTACCAGGTGGCAGAGCAGACCTCATCAACATTTAGCATCTAAATAATTTTCTTTTTATTAGTATTTATTCACTGTACTTCATGAAACACAAAATACAACCCAGAGTTGCAAATCAGTTAATTAGATCATTGTGCATTGCCAGAGTAGCCACCTTCTCTTAAATTTTAAAAAAAAATGGCTTACTGGCTGACTCTTCACCAGTGTTAAATTGAGGTTTGCTATAAGCCCTCCCATTTGCAAGCCAATGTGTAATTTAGGAAATTTCTAGTATTAAGAGTGAAACCTGATTGAGTCATTAATTAAATGAAATGAACAAAAGGAAGTTACTGTTCAGAATAGTTATTCCCTTATAAATACCTTTCCCCTAGATTTGTAATTGACACAGTAGTTAATCTTTTAAGATAATATTTAAGGCTCCCTGGTTTTATCATTTTTAATCAAGTAAAATATATTCATCATAACTACATTAAAGCTGCACTAAGTTATGCCTAATTTAGTTGCTTCATTAAAAATTACTGAATATAAAATAGTCAAGAAACAAATTGTGACTATATCATTTTCATTTCATGTGCTTAAAGCTGAGACACAGAAATGCTGAAAATTCAAAATCCTTTGTAAACATTATAGTTATTATTAATTTTATTATTTTAAATTTACACTCCTCATTAGATAAAAGAAAAAAAATCAAGTATTTTAACTCTTCTACGTAGTCTTAAATTCTTAAATATTTTTAATACTGAAAGCTCTTCTCCTTGCTTAAATGTACTTTGTAGTACTTAAAAAAGTACTTAACACCTATATAAAAAATACTTTTTCCTTCTAACATAATTTTGTTTATCTTTGTTTTGTAAAATTGCATATTCATTAATTTCTTCTGAACATTACTGTAAAAATTATTCATTAGAATTAATTGAGAAAACAACAGATCCATAATCTAAAGTAATATAAAAGTTTGGGTTTTACTTTTCCCTCCTGTTTTATAGTACTTTAAATGTTTAATAATTCTTTAATTGATTAATAAATTATTAATCTTTAATAAAGAATTCTCTAAAAATCTTTAATAATTGGTTGGTCATTTGAAGTGTCTTATTTATCTATTGCTGATATAAGCAAAATACAATAGATGGATGGCTTTAACAAACAGGATTTTCTCAGAGTTCCAATCACTCACTGCTTGCCATGGAGTCAGAACAGCTCATAACTGAGTTTGCTCCTTTTATCCCCCCTCAGAGTGATTGGTAGACTCTAACCACCTGTCACTGGATTGGCAATGCAACTCTCTAATCTAGTAGAGCACCCTAGCTCCGTCTCAGAATGGGTTGTAGTTAGGTGCCACCTAGTTAAGTACAGCACAGAGCAACCTTATGAATTACAGAACGGAACCATGTCCTATTTTGTGGCTTCCTTCCAATCCCTGACATATTCGAGCCCATTGCTGTAGTCACTGTGTCAATTAATTTCATTATTGATCTTCCTCTCTTTTTTCCTGACCTTCATCTTTCCTAGTATGATTTCTCTTTTCAAGGAACAGGTCCTCCTACTAACAACCTATATAAGGTATGTGAGACAAAGCTTTGCTATCCTCGCCTCCAAGGAGCACTCTGGCTGCATTTTGTCCTAGACATATCTGTTTGTTCTTTTGGCAGTCTTGCAGATATTCAGTATTCTTTACCAACATCACAATTAAAAAGCATTGATTCTTTTTCTACCATCTTTATTCATTGTTAGGTTCTCAGCTGCATAACAAGTGATTGACAAGACCATGGCTAGAATCAGGTGCACCTTAATCTTTAAACTGACATCATTGTTCTTCAGTACTTTGGAGATGTTCTTTATCACAGACTTTCCAGAACCAAGTGTTTTATTGTGGATCCAAGAAAGATGAAATAATTCACAATTTCATTCCTCCCCCCCCATTTATCATAATGTTGCCTATTGGCTCAGCGACAAGGAATTGTGACTTCTTGATGGTAAGATGTAATCCATATTAAAGCCTCAAGTCTTTGATCTTCTGCAGCAAGTGCTCAAGTCTTCCTCACTTTCAGTGTTTGTTGTTGTTAGTTGTGTAAAGTATGACTCATAGCAATCATGTGTACAGCCGACCTGAACTCTGCCCTGTCCTGTGCCATCATCATCCTTTTTGACACCTTTGAGATCATTGTTCCAGCCCGTTGCTGTACTCACTGTGTCTCTCTATCTCATTGGGGTTTTTTCCTCTCTTCATTGACTCTCCACCTTTCAAAGCATGTTTTCCCTCTCCAAGGAAGAGCTTCTCCTAGCAACATGTACAAAGTATGAGAGACAAAGCTTCACCATCTTTGCCTTCAAGGAACACTCTGGCTGCACTTTTCCCAAGACAGAATCTGCTTGTCCTTTTGGCAGTCCATGAGACGTTCAGTACTCTTCTCCAACATCACAGTTCACAGGCATCAATTAATTCTTCTCTGCCATGTTATTAATTGTCTAGCTCTCAAATGCACAGCAGTTTATTGAAAAGACTATAGCCTGAATCAGGTGCACCTTAGTTTTCAAACTGACGTCATTGTTCCTAACGTATTTTCGAGGAGTCCCTGACAGTGGACTTTACCGATGTCTCCTGATCTTCTGACTGCTGGTACCAACTATGTTGATTGTTGATTCAAGCAAGACTAAATCATTGACAGCTTCAGTCTTTTCTCTATCTACCATGATATTGTCTGTTGGCTTCATAGTGAGGATCTTGGTTTTCTTGAGGTTGAAATGTAATCCATACTCAAGGCTATATAGTTCATTATATTTTGCAGAAAGGGTTTCAAGTCCTCTTCGTTTTCAGCAAGCAAGGTTGTACCATCTGCATGACTCAGGTTACGGATGAGTCTTTTTCCAATCCTGATGCCACATTTCTCTATATAAAGTCCAGCTTCACAAATTATCTGCCCAGCATACATATTGAATATGTATGAAGAAAGAATATAGTGACTCATAGCTGATCCTCTAATGGATTTTCAGAGGTTGTCAATTGCATAAGATGAAATCTCTCATCTTTGTCTGCCAGAGCAACTGATGATTTCTAACTGCTTGCCTTTGGGTTGACAACACAACTCCTTACCACTACTAGGCCACCAGAACTCCCACAACCTGGCTTGCAAAAAAGTAAAGAGGACTTGAAGCACTGGTTGCAGAAGATTGAGAACTATATATCCTTTAATAGCTATCATATCTTACTATCAGGAAAAATTCCTAACAACTGAAACAATAGACAACATAGTTGGAGAAAAGACTGAAATTATCAGTTTACTTGAATCCACAAGCAACACCATGGTGGCAACAGTCATAAAATCAAAACACACGTTGCATTGGGTACCTTTGTTGTAAAGAACCTTTCCAAAGTGCTAAAGAGTAATGATGTCAGTTTAAAGACTAAGGTGCACCTGATAAAAATCACATTTTCCATTGCTTCCTATGTTTTTAAAAATTAGACAATGAAGAAAGAAACACTGAAGAAGAATCAATGGCATTGAATTGTACTGATATTAAAGAGTATTTAATATTCTGTGAATCATCAAAAGAACAAACAAATCTGTCTTGGAGAAAGTGCA